TTCTTACAGTCCCGTGACAAGCAGAACCCCCAAAGTAGACTTTGTTGCTTTAGGAAGACCAGAAATACTGCAGCACAGCCTCCATGGCTCCACCTTTATAATCCCCCCTGTACCTCCATCTACTACCACTTCCAGCCTGCTGGGGAAAGGGGGTGGTGGTGGGGATGGCTCTGAAGAAACCACCACCCCAACTGTCCCACTGCAGGCTCACTTTCTGAGAGAATTCACGTCACTTATTTTTCATTTACACACAGAGCACCTGATTCGTACAAGTTGAAGCACCACTATTATTATAAACAAGATGTACCGCCATGCTTTAATGATCCACTTCCAAAGTGGTTAAGGGTAGGTGAATGGCGAGTGTGTTCCTCTCCATCCACCCACCCCTCTGCTTGGGATTGAACTCAGGGCTTTGTACTTCCCAGGCAAGTGTTCTACCACTGAACCACATCCTTGAGGCGCCATTCAAATACCTTGGCTGAGCCTGATAATAGGCTATCCAAATTCCCTGCTAATAGAAGTTAGCGGGGCTGGCAAGGTGGCTCAGTGGGTGGAGGCACTTGCTGCTAAGCCCGAAGACCAGAGTTGGATCCCTAGGACCCCACATGATAGGGAGCCAAGTTATCCTCTGACCTCCACACATGTACCTTGGCATTGACACGTCTACCCTGTCAATAAACAAATAATTGTAAAAACCTTTTTTATAAATTAGAGAGATGACGATAAGGACAGAGGCGTAGCTGGGTAATAAGGAGAGAAGTGAGACCATTTTAGAACGCGCACTGTGAAGGGTTCAGGGCTGTGAGTGGGTTTACAGGGAACAGCATGATTGGAGTCATGATGTACCAACTGTGTGGATAGCCGGCTGACGGGAGCAGGAAGGCTGATGAAAAAAAGGCTAACAGAAAACCAGAAAGACGGTGGCCTGCACATGGGGACAGAAGCTGTCTGGTGAGAAGTGGCTGTGACTGGGATGTTTCTTGGAGGAACAGTTGACAACCTTTGTGCTGAGGTCCGTGTCTGCAAGCCTGCCGAGTTTTATTCATCAGTAATTATTACTTTCTTCGTGTGCAAAATAATGGGTTTCAGTTGGGTGGTGGTGGCACACACCTTTAATCCTAGTACTTGGGAGGCAGAGGCAGGCGGATCTTTGTGAGTTCGAGGCCAGCCTGGTCTACAGAGCAAGATCCAGGAAAGGTGCAAAGCTACACAGAGAAACCCTGTCTCAAATAAATAAATAAATAAATAAACAAACAAAAAATAATGGGTTTTATTATGACATTTTCATACACAAATATCACCATACCTTGGACAGGGACACGGACGGACAGACAGGGACACACACGGACACACACACACACACACACACACACACAAGTTTTTAGTACACAATTGCAATATGGGATTCACTAGGGACCTGAGCAAGACTCCTGGAGAAAAGGTATTAGAGGGTCTATATGACCCTAAGATGAAAATATATGAAAGCACAGGAAGACCTTATCACTGAACCCCAAATCACCTACACAGCCTACAATCCCAGCACCAGAAGACAGAGGCAGGAAGATCCCAATTTAAAGGCCACCATCTGTTACATACAGAGTTTAAGGACAGTCTGGACTACATGAAGCCCAGCCTCAACAACAACGAAGCGGGAGGGGAACTGTTTCCATACAAGTAAATCCCGAAGCAAACACATCTCTACCTGACGATGTGACTTCTCCCTTTAGTGTCACTCCAGTTTGCTGACACAACCCACCTTCCGGGAGCCGCTCTCTAATCCCTCTGCCTCTAACAGCTTGAGGAAAAACGCACAACAGGACTTTCTTCAGATTCAGCACTCAAAGGATGGGAAGAAAGATGCTTAGTTCTGTGAATAAGGGGATGGCCTCTAAAAGATCTAGGAAATCAAAGGGTTAAAGGCTTCCAGGGCAGAGGTCTTATGTGACAGACACTTGAGGACACACAGGCTGGCTCCTACTTCAAGAAGCTTTCATGAAAAGGAAAAAAAGCATGTGTGTTACTTGTTACCATGCATGTGTCAAGTCTCAGGACATTGGTTCAAGCACCCACTGACTGGGTAGTTTCAGTGATTAGAGTATGTGTTTAGCATGTTCTGGGCTTCTGTTGTTAGCATGGTAAGAAAACCACCACCACAACAAAAACCATGTGGTATCTGGATCACGTGAAGAGCTATTTCTAGTGTGTTGAGGAACCTCCATACTGGTTTCCACAGTGGCTGCACCAGCTGGCACTGCTACCCACAATGAAGTGTTCCCCCTTTCCCACGCTGACACTAGCATTTGTCATCCTTTCGTTTTCTGACTGGCATAAGATGAAATCTCAAAGTTCTAATTTGCATTTCCCTAAGAGCTAATGATGGTGAACATTAGAAGAAAAACGTCAACCAACTTCTCTGCTTCCGGTCTATTGTCCAGGCTAAGCCACAAGCTTCTACTGCACGCCTGCGATTCCCTGAAACCCAGAGTCAGGCTAAAACCTCCCTTCTTTAAAAATGCTTCCGCCTTCTCTTTATTTCTTAGTATTTATTTTTTTTTTGATGATGTATATGTGGGGGAGGATGAGAGGAGTATGCAGGGGCACTCGGAGGCCAAAAGGCGGCACGGGACCCCTTAGAGCTGCATTACTGATTGTTATGAGTAGCTAGACGTGGGTGCTGAGAGCCAAACTCGGGTCCCCTACAAGAGCAGTATCTGTCCTGAACCGCAGAGCCATCTCTCCAGCCCCAATTCTTCCTCCTTTAGGTGGCTTATCAGAAATGAAAAAATACAATTTCATGAGGCCAGAACAGAATACTGCTGTACAAACTAGAATATACTGCTGTTGAAATCCACACCCCCACTACCCTCTTCCCCTGCCCCAAATCACACACACACACACACACACACACACACACACACACACACACACACACACACACACAACCTCTACCTGGGTGGACGCAGACAATGAACTTACATTTCTTGCTCATGGTGTGTGCACCTGAGGTCCAGAGCAGAAGTGTTCTATGGATGGCTCGGTGTCACATTCCTTCCTCCACGTGCTCCCATGACTACCGTGGAAGAAACAGTCATGACAGGGAGTCACTCACCTACAAGGAGAAGCTTCTTCCCCACTGCGGAGCAGAGCTCAGGAGTCAGAGACACAATTAGAGCAAGAGCCAAGAAAATACACAGCCTCACATGCACAGCAACGACAAATGGTAATGTATCAAAAACACTGGAAAGACACAGTGGAAGTTCAGTGGTACTTTCTCTGAGTGGTGTTGACTGTTTGAAAAGCACTGTGTTTCCTATCATTTGGCAGAATCTTACTTCATTGTTTACTTTTTTTGAGGCAGGGTCTCACGCAGCCTAGGTTGGCCTCAAGTTTTCTGTATGGTTCAGCTCCTTCTGCATATACCCTCCAAGTGCTAGGATTACTGGTGTGTGTCACCATGCCCAGGTCCTTTTTTATCATAAAAATGTTTTGACCTAGGCCGGGCGTTGGTGGCGCACGCCTTTAATCCCAGCACTCGGGAGGCAGAGCCAGGCGGATCTCTGTGAGTTCGAGGCCAGCCTGGGCTACCAAGTGA